TACTACTACTCTTACTACTACTTCTACTACTACTGTATAGCAGAATAGTAGTATTGAGTAATCTGGTTTTGTAGTATTGTAGTATTGTGGTACCCTAGTGCTAGCATTATACTCGCAACAGTGCCTCACAGCAATAGTTTTGAGTACAATGATTCTAAAGTAGAATGGATGCATGCGGCCGGCATCTGACCAGTATTTATTCTACACGGCTGCAAACAGTGATCAGCTGCTATTCGTCAGTCCGTCAGGACACCTGTTCAATGATATTGCTTTTTGAATCTTCATATACGCAAATCAGAGCTGCAGCCGCATTTAATACACTCCCTGCGAGCTGTGTGTAGACCTGCATTAGAAGCATTTTGTGTTGATCGTAGCACAAGCACCTACTCCTATGTTTCGTGACACAGCAGCCCCTCACGATCTTTAAGACGCCCAAATTATGTGTTTGGGCTTTTGCTGAGGCAATGATGGCAATCATTGGTATGTTTTTCCAGGACCTGCAGCATGACGGATTCTGTCTTGCAATCAAAGAAGAAGCTGGCCCGGCATGCGAAAAATTCGATAACTTAACAGCAAGATTACTGAAGGAACGCAAAAACCAGCACTGCCCAACTTGAAATCCTATTGTATCAAAACGAGAGCCAGACCTTCTAGCGCTGCAGCCTGTGGGCATGACGAATGCATCCTGTTCAGAGCACTGTAATCCTATAGCAAGTACAAATTAGAAAAACACATAGAAAAACATGTGTTTGTTTGGGCTGGTGCTGATGTCGTGCCTCGTTCAGGTCACTGTTTGGTGACGTGCGAAAAACAAGTTCTTGTTTTGTGGTTTTTCTGTATCAGTACCTAAACCACCAAATGGATTAAATGGATGCCTTCAAGCCTTCAATCCCTATCCTAAGTTCCATGGCCCGTGTCGAACCCTCAACTTTCCCGATTCGTCCCAAGCCCTCGAACCTTAGCCCTAATCGTGGAACATGACTAATCTCTCAACTGATCTCGATCTCCAACGCAGATCCTGCAGGACGGCCTCACTGGCTCTGCTTGGGGAGACTGGGCAAATTACACAGACTCGCCTCTTCGTGCTTTCGAGGCACGGGGTGGGTGGCAAATTGGCTGCTTTCGGTAGGATCTCAGATCTGCAGTTGCATCTGATCTCGGTTCGGAGTCTAGACCGTCTAGGGTAAAGGCATTCGCTGGCAATTGCTTTCTAGTTGCTTGGGGCTTGTTGGTTCGGACTTCGCACATGGGATGTATGTAGGTTGCTACAGCTTGAACGTCATGACTTCATGACCTCAGGAGTTTGTCATGTTTGATGAGTCTTTCAACCTCCTACTACTGGAAGCCTCAGGCTTCGTTTGTCAAGCCAGTGTTCAATCCCTCAGCGGAGTGAAGAGGTAGCTTCTTGAAGCCCGAGCCAGAGCACTCGAGCACTTGGAAGCCCGAGACTTGTTTCGGTTCCGAGAGACGAGGCAGAGCAACCCTAGACAGGGACAGAAGCTGCAAAATGTAGCATCTGACAACAGGAAGAGCTTGGAGTCCAGGCGCCTGTCGGCCCTCCGAAAGCATTTGCGGTTCAGAGATTTGCAGTCTTTCTGATGGGCGTAAGATTTTGGAGCTTAATTACTGCCTCAAGTAAGGTGTGCCGCTTGCATGAAGGCTCAGGTCTTCGGGACAGCACCAGCATTAGGGCATTGGTTTCATCGCCAGCCTTAGGAGGACATGAGGAAGCAGATTCGCGGTGTAGAAGTCCAATGCTTCTGTGACCAGTATTGTTTTGTTGAGATGAACTGGCAAGACAAGGCTGCCGGACATGAAACTGGGATTCGCGTTGGCCAACGGCTTTCAGGGGGGCTCGAAATGGAAAGTTTCCCGATTCCACACGGTGAGGTGAGCAATGCCTTCTTGCAGGGGTCTTGCCGGGGAGTGCAGACGAGCAGACTGCGGCCACGGAGTTTTGAGGGATTAGTACAACGATGCACGTCGTAGGTTTAGCATCAAAGTTATCAAACGGAAGCGGTGATTTCCTCCATGCCTTGCAGTGTATATAAGAACAGCACCAGTCGACCAGCACGACAGATTAGTACTATCTGATGCTACCTAAACGGCTCAAGCCCCTAGTCTTCAAGCCCTGTAGACACCCGAAGCTCAACCAGACTCTTCGGATTTCAGGCTTTTGGGACCCAGTTGGCTACACCCGCGATGGCAGCGTGGAAACCTTTAAGCGACGCCGCGAGACGGAGATCAAGCACGGGCGAGTGGCAATGTACGTGGCTGGGAGTCAACTTGTGCTGTCATGGGGTGGAGCTAGGAAAGTCCAGGCTTTCGGAAACCAGTGGTGCTTGTGCCTGACTACCACAGTGGAATCTGTTCTAACCTGCGATCCCGTACTGTACGATCTGCGCCAAAAGACTTCACTAGGGAGGGCCAATTTTTGTGGGAATTTGTGTTTTGCCGCCTGTGTCAGACAGGCTGCCTCAGCACTAGTTGCCTCAACCTTGCCTGCAGCTCGCTCCTTTAGCATGAGTGAGCCTCTTGAAACTTTGTGGACCGCAGGCGCGCCTTTGGCTAAGCTACTGCTACGTGCATTAGGGAAAATCCTAAAAGGATTGCATTCGTCGGAGCCATAGGCCAACCTGGAGGTTCAGACAAGGACCACATCAGACCTGCCGAGACGGCAAAAGCAGCCCCTGACTTTCTCTGCGCTGTCCTGTTTGCAAGCGTGGGTTTTCATTGATTAGAGCGGCGAGGCTTCCAACACACTTGTGTTGGTAGCGGAGCTCGATCAGTGGATTGGGGGAGCTCGAATTTGTGTTGGGTGGCTTCGCCTACTTGACTGCAGAGCTGGTTCCGGGGCCTGGATCCCGCAGGGAGTTTGTGTAGACACGAGCGCTACTACCCCTTCAAGGGACTATGGCTTCGCATGACCACCAGGATGGCCGCATTCGCTGCCATTGGGACGGCGACCCAGCTACGTACCCGGACTTCATGCGACGGGTGAGGTTATCGTTTGAGCGCACACCGCGCAAAAAACGCCACCTCCTTGGTCCAGAGGTCGTGGCCTCCTTGAGCGGCCGTGCCTGGATCATTACTCAGGATCTGGATCATCGGTTGTTGGTGCGGAGGAACGGGGTCATATATCTTCTAGAATATCTACAAGAACGACTGGGTAAAACCCCGGTACCAGACGTCGGCACCCGACTCGAAAGTCTTATCCTTCGCATTCGACGACCTGCAGGCCAGAGTATGTCCACTTGGAGCAGTCAGCTCAGGCACCATTACCGGCAGCTTCAAGTTGCCCTTGGCAGGGTGCGGAAGGACCAAGAGAAGAAGGAGGACACTCCTACGAACTCTCCGGCGACATCTCGTCCGGCCCGATCCTCGCCTCCTTCTACGAGCTCTCCAAGGCGTGCGAGCAGAGAGACTCAGGAGGAACCTCAGGGCGAAGATGACGCTGATGAAGGTGAGACAGTAGGGCCTCCTGAGGATGATCGTGAAGAACTCTTGGCGGATGGAGACAGGGAGAATGCTTCTCCCTCCTGGCGGCGACCTCGCCGCAAAGGGCGTGACACAGAGTCAGACTCAGACGACTCTACCCGTGCCCTTGCCGACATGGCCCTTTGGGAGCGCTACGACGAGACCTTACCGGACGTCCTGCCCAGTGAGCTATTGGGATGGCTGTTGTTACGCCGAGCGGGTATCAGCCATCAAGCTTCGCTGGCTGTGCAGTCTGCTGCTTCCGGTTCCCTTCGTTTGGACGACATCGAGAAAGCCCTCCGTGCAATGGAGGATGAGATCCTGCAGCAGGAGCTTCGTCCTCGAGGTGGACTGGGCGCCAGCGGCAAGGGGCATGGACGGCATCGCACTTATTGGGTAGAAGAAGGAGGTGAATGGTCTATGTGGCTAGGGGAGAACAACGACCTGGACGAGCTCTTCGATGGAGGTGAGATTCACTATGTGGGCAAGAAACTACCCCCTCAGGTCCATCCCGAACCTTACGTTGCCCCTGATTACACCGAGGAGTGGAACTACTATGGCAGCGGATGGGAGTTCCATCCTGAAGACTGGTCTGGATGGGACTACGACTCCACTTCATGGTGGTATGATGAGTTATCCGCCGAGCAGCAGCAGGAGTTGGAAGAGGCCTATGCGGCTGTGGATCAGAAGGCTCGGAGCTTTGTGGAGGCTCGCCAGGCGGTGAAGGCCAGGAACCTTTCCCGCGGCTTCTACCCGTTTGCCCCGTCGTCGAAAGGTGGTGCCTTTAAGGGAAAGAAGGGCAAAGGAAAGGGCAAGCCGAAGGGCAAGGGCTATGGAGCCGCATCTTCATCTTCGGCTCCACCTGTGCTGGCTGTGTCAGGCTCGTCTGGCTTGAATGACGACGGGAGCGGCTTCTTGGGCGCAGCCGTGGGCGATCCAGCCTACACCGGGTGCTTCATCTGTGGCAGCAAGGCCCATGACTTTCGCCATTGCCCCAAGCGCCAGAACAAGGGTGGTGGCAAAGGGTCCGTGCACTTCGCCTCGGAGGTTGGAACTATTTTCTTCAACGAGGACCTCCAGAGCTCAACGACTTCCCCTTTGCCATGGCCATCCTCTCCAATCTATGCCATTCAGGAGGACGGGGCCGAGGGCGAGATCTTTTCCCAGGACCCCTCTGAGGACTTGTCGGGCTACGCTGTGCTCGACTCGGGGGCTACCGAGACGGTGGCCTCGTTGCCTGCTTTGGAGGCTCTGATGAAAGTTCGTCAGGGTTCTGGTGGCACAGTTTCCTCAGATGGGTTTCAGGTTCTGGACCAGCCCCCGAAGAAATTCAAGTTTGGGAATGGAGAGTTTGCTGTGTCATCATCGTTCTTGTTGCTTCCTCAGCAGATAGGCGAACATCACGTGGATCTTGGAGTCTACACGTTGGATGTGGTTGGCGTTCCGGTGCTTATAGGCATTAAGACTATGATGCGTCTCCATGCGGTTGTGGACTTTGCTCATTGCCGTGCTGTGTTTGCTGCGGTCGATGCAGGACTGGTTGTTCCCCTGAGGCGCAGCCGGTCAGGACACCTGTTAGTGAGCTTGAAAGACAACTGGCTTCAACAAGGCCATCGTTTGGACGCAAGGACCGTCCAACCTGGACTGCCTCTCGTGCCTCCAAAAGAGGGTCCTGCGAGCAGCTTCATGGTGCAAGAACACTCAGGTCATGATTTGACGCGGCTAGGATCGGAGACTGCGGTAGGTTCTCAAGATGCCTGTGTATGCCAGCCTGATCCTCCTGTAGAAGACCCACCTTGTGAGGATTGCCCTGAGTTGGTGCTGACATCGTCAACTTCGCCGCAGCCCTCAGCAGATCAAGCTGTAGATCCTATGCGCTCTTTGGCTGTACTAGCTGGGCTCGTCAGCCTTCATGGCCAAGTCCTCTGCGGCGGGCAAATCCAAGACGTCCAAGAAGGCCGCCGATCCCCTCGACGAGGAACGTACCGAGGGACCCGACTTGAGGGACCCGCGGGTGAAAGGTGGACCTTGCTTCGGGAACCACAAGGTGGCCAAGGCCTACAAGGGGAGCGTGTCCGGCAGCAACCAGTACGCGAGCTGGACCGGATGCGAAGTCTGCAAGATCAGACTCACGTATACCCCGCGGATGGGATGCCACGGCATCCATCGAAAGAGTGCTCCCCTGGCGAAGGATGTGACCAGCGTCCTTCAAGATCTTCCTCCCGAGACAGAGGCCTACCCGAGCAACAAGGAGATCTCGCTGACCGCCGCGGAGAACTCAGCGCTGGCCCGACTGGAACACCTTCGGCGACTTCGCAAGGATGGAAGCATCAAGAATGCCGGGCCTCATGCTACGCTGGTGGAGCCGGCGAACACCGAGGACCAGGCGAAGACCAAAGACCAATCCAGCAAGAACACCGGGGACCACGCGAAGACCAGAGACCAATCCAGCAAGAACACCGGGGACCACGTGAATTTGCCAGTAGACCAGCAGTCGACAGCGTCCAGTCCCATGTCACCGGGCACGATTGTGGTGGATCCAGAAGAACTACCCAGGCACCCTGGTCGGAAGGCTTCGAGACCCAGTACCCAGACAGCAGAAGAGCTAGATCAGAACCTATGAAGGACCAGGGTGACGAGCGTGCCAACTTTGTGTCCCTGCTGAACACTTCGGAGGTCGAGGCCTTCGCCGACTACCTGACTGCCCAGAAGGCCTTCGATTACCAGTCGATGGAGGAGCTCCTTGGGATGATGAAGCCGAGGACCTTCACCCCCGGCAGGGCGGCGTCCATTCAAGGACGAAAGGCTGGATTTTCCATGGTGTTCGGACTCTACGCGCACGGCTCATACTATGGTACCACTCGAGCTTCACGGATGTATCCCTCAACGTGCCGTTACTTCAACTCCTGCCTCAGGAACATCCAGTCCGAGACGGTGACCCAATGGACATCGGTGAGCGTGCTTGTGAATATGAAGGGCTCGATGCACTTGGATGCCCACAACGACTCGTCGTCCTACAATTTGGCCGTGGGACTGGGCCCTTACCAGGGAGGAGAGCTTTGGGTGGAACTCCGTGATGGCGATCCTTCCAAACCAGATCTTTCGCTCTCCTGGCGAGAACTTCCTGGCGGCCGACGCGCTCCTGGACAAGTGCATCCTACGCGGTGGTGCCCAACGACCTTCTCTCCGAAGCGCTACCACAAGACCCTTCCATGGACCGGCACGAGATTCTCGGTGATTGCCTATACCGCTCGCAGTTGGCCAGAAGCTCAGAAAGACTCTGAGGTACTTCATCTACTACGACAACTTCAATTTCCTCTCCCGAGACCTACCCGAAGTTGTGGAAGGGGCGAGGACCTTGTGAACTACGAAGATGAGGTCAATGGTGATGAAGACTTCGAGGATATCCTCGAGGAGGAGCCGCTCACCCTGGAGGACCGCTCCGACATCCTGGCCACCTACCAAGAGTTCGAGGGTGCTCTGATGGACATTTTCCTTGAGTATCCCAATGAGAAGACTACTAAGGTGGTTAATTTGTGCACTCCGTGGCTGGATCCTTTGGCCATGGACCAAGTGCTCCAGGAGAAGGACTGGAACTATCAAGGACTTTCCCACCACGAGGGATGTGACTTGTCTACTCATTCGGGTTACCAAGCAGCCCGAGAGCAGATCAGCCACCTGCAGCCTGAGTGGTTGTGGTGCCATATCCCTCGCGGTCCTCTACAACTGTTTGCTACCGAGCAAGGATGGGATGATCCTCGACGGGCTGTTAAGGCCAAGCGGTACCTGAAAACTTTGAGGCACGCTCTTCTACTTTCTCGAGATCATGTGATGAAGGGCGGGAAGCTGGCTTGGCTGATCCCCGCTGACAGCCTGGCTCCATCAGTCCGGGAGCAACGATTTTGGAGCTGTTATGGTCGAGGCTCCTCCCTCCATGTGAACTCGAAAAGTCAAGTGTTATCCAACGTTGTGGAGGTGGCTGACCTCCGACCTGGGGACTCCCCAAGCAAGTTCTGGACTTCAATGACTACAATCTCCGATGTGGTGACGGCTTGGCTGTTGGACTCAACGGAGGACACCGTTTTTCCCGTGGACACCAGCTGCCTCAACACCCTCACCTCCTCCGAGCTGGAGCGACTGATGCAACATGTTCGTCAACTACATCGGCGCTTTGGACACCCGTCCAACCGCCTCTTGGTCAAGAACCTCCTTCACCGCAATGCTGACGAGAAGGTGGTGGCAGCGGCGTCCCAGCTGGAGTGTGATGAATGTTTGGAGTCCCAGATTAAGATGCCTTCGCCAGCCGTGAACTTGGATAAGTGTGAAAAGCTTTGGTCGTGTTTGCAAGTGGATGGGTTCCATTTGCGTTGTGGAGCCACCATCTACCATTTCCTCCTCATGGTGGACGAGGCCAGCGGCTTTGCGGTTGTGAGGGAGATGTTCTCTCACCCTGAGGAGGACCACCAAAATATGTCCGGCCCGGACGTTGTTCAGGTTCTGCAGGAGGCCTGGTTTCAGTACTTTGGCTACCCCGACACTGTGAAGTTGGACCTGGAAGGTGCCCTCCGTAGCCGTGCCCTTCATGAGGCCTGTGTGGACAAGGGAATCGACCTGGTGCCTGCCCCGGCGGAGTACCACGAGATGATTGCTGATGTGGAGAGGGAAATCGGCTACGTGCGACAGCACCTTGAGCGTTTCCTACGTGGAGGAGCTTTTGAGAGGCCTGGACAGGCAGCTTTGGCTGCTGTGACGGCCCATAACAGCCTGGCCCGGGTTCACGGGTTTTCTCCTCTGCAATGGGCTCTGGGCCGAGACATGTCTTTGGGACACCGAGCTTCTGAAGCCCAAGGCGACCAGATTTCGGCAACTCGGACGACGAATTTCAATAACCAAGGCAATCTTCGCTTGGAGGCTGAGCAAGCCTTCCTGAAGCATCGGGCTGACCAGCTTGCCTCCCGTGCCAAGAATGCTAAGGTCCGAGTGCAGGTGCGGTACTTTCCAGGAGATATGGTATTTTACCGTCGTCACAAAACACCGGCTGACCTGCCGGCGAACTCTTGGGTGGATCGACCTCGCCTTCGTGGAGCCCGTTGGTATGGACCGGCGCGGGTCCTTGCTTGTGAGACCAAAACTGAGGAAGGATATCGGAAGCCTTCCCAGTACGTTTGGGCCATTTGCAGTGGAAGGTTGAAGAAGTTCCATGCTACCCAGCTTCGGCATGCATCCCCGAGTGAGCGCCTGACTCACGAGGCGCTGAGGGACATCACTATGCCCTGGACTATGACATCATTGACTCGGCTTCTTGATAAAGGGTCTTATGATGATGAGACCAGAACCCGAGCAGCAAGGAACGTGATGCTGGGTCGCAAGAAGAGAGGACTTCGGCGGGTTCCAGGTGGTGCTTCCCCTCCTGTACGGCTTCCTGACGACCCACCTGCTCTTCCACCTGAAGAGCATTCGATCCCCCCAGGATCTGATGAGGAAATGATTCCCGACGACGAGATGAGGAAAGCCCCTCGCCTACGTGAGCCTGAAACGGCGGCCAGTTCCTCTCCACCTGAGGTTGATGTCGACCGCCTCCTTCACGATCCTCAATACATGCCCTCGTCTCGAAGCTCTGGATTTCAAGAGCAGCGACGACTACATGAGCAAGAAGATCGCCCGTGGCATGTGCAACATGGCCATCTCCTGTACTCTGATGAGGAGGTTGGGTCAGGCATCTATGCTGTTACCTTGGACACGCCGGCGAACGACAAGGAGTGGCGCAAGGTGCTGAAAGACCCTCGAAAATTCCTGGCGAAGTCGGTTCAAAAGGGGGTGGAAGTCAGCTGGAATCGCCTTAACGATGCCCAACGTGTGGCGATGTCTGAGGCCAAGAAGGCTGAGGTCGACTCCTGGCTGGCAAACCGAGTGGTGAAGGCGGCGCTTCCTCACATTACGATGGAGCAATCTCTTCGCATGAGGTGGATCTACACCTTCAAGGCGGCCGAGCCCGGGAAGGTTAAGGCCCTAGGCGAGGATGGTCATCCTCGGCTATAGTGACCCATCGTTGTTGGAGCAGGAGACCTCCTCCCCAGCGATGTCCCGACAAAGCAAGATGTTGTTCTTTAACTATGCCACAGCGAAGCGGTGGCGGATCTTGGCCGGAGATGTGAAGACTGCCTTCCTTCAGGCAAAGGCTCCGAACCGACAGCATCCTCTTCATGCTCAACCCTTGCCAGAGCTCGCGGAGGCCATGAACTTGACAGAGGACCAGATGGTGGAACTCCTTGGTTCCGCATACGGCCTCACCTCAGCCCCAAGGGAGTGGTATCAAGATCTCACGTCTACCCTCCGACGCCTCAAGGCACAGGCCTGCCTCTCCGATCCTTGTGTTTGGAGGCTCTTTGATGCAGCCGATAAGAAGGTGATCGGCCTCATTGGCCTTTATGTCGATGACATCCTCTTCTGTGGAGACGAGGGAAACGAGATCTACTGCCAGTTCCTGCACGACCTCCACCAAGCGTACTCGTGGAGCCCATGGGAGAGTGACAACTTCAGCCACTGTGGAGTCCGGATCCAGCAGTTTGCCGACGCCAGCATTTTGCTGGACCATTCTGAGTTCTGCTCAGAATTGATGCAGATGCCCTCGCGAAGCAAGGACGATGACTCCGAGCTTACCGCGCAGGAGATTTCCCAGGCAAGGGCCATCCTGGGATCGATCCAATGGAGGGCTTCCCAAACGGCTCCCCAGCACAGTGCAAAGGTGTCCTACCTGTTGTCTATGCTGGCCACCAAGAAAGGAGGGGTCGTGGAGATGGTGAACAAGCTTGTCCGAGAAGTGCACTTGGCAAGGCACATCTCGGTGAAGATCCAGCAGTTGGACTGTGATCCAGCCCGCCTGATCCTCGCGGGCTGGTCAGACGCGGCCGTCGCGAATAGGCCGGACCTCAAGTCGACTGGAGGCCACCTGTTTGGTCTCATGAACCCCTCTGAGGTCCAGCAAGGGTATGGGAAAGTGAATGCCATTACCTGGAAATCTAGCCGTTTGGCCAGGGTGGCACGAAGCAGCCTCTCTGCCGAGACCCAGGCCCTTGCCGATTTGGATGGCGAGATGATGTACGCACGCCTTACTTGGGCAGAAATGAATGGCCACCGCGGGGACCTGAAGCTGAAGGACGAGTGGATCCGCTCTGTCCCTGCCTTCATGGTGATCGACGCCCGAGCACTTTTCGACGCGCTTGAACGAGGTGACCTGACCATCTCCAGCATGAAGGACAAGTTTTCAGCGCTGGAGACTTTGGCTCTTGCGCAGAGCATGACGACGTTGAGCACCCATCTGCAGTGGACCGACAGCGACCATCAGTTAGCTGACGGTCTGACAAAGATCCAAAAGCAGGACCAGCTCAAGCGCTTCTTGGTCAGCGGCAGCTGGCGACTTCGACACCCTGGTGCTCTGATGAGTGCCAAGAAGCGGCGCGCCTTGGAGGCCTTAGGCCCTGATTTTGCCCACGAGGCTGATCGCTAAAGCAGTGATCTTTCGGCAACCTTTCTTGGGGCATGTCAGACAGGCTGCCTCAGCACTAGTTGCCTCAACCTTGCCTGCAGCTCGCTCCTTTAGCATGAGTGAGCCTCTTGAAACTTTGTGGACCGCAGGCGCGCCTTTGGCTAAGCTACTGCTACGTGCATTAGGGAAAATCCTAAAAGGATTGCATTCGTCGGAGCCATAGGCCAACCTGGAGGTTCAGACAAGGACCACATCAGACCTGCCGAGACGGCAAAAGCAGCCCCTGACTTTCTCTGCGCTGTCCTGTTTGCAAGCGTGGGTTTTCATTGATTAGAGCGGCGAGGCTTCCAACACACTTGTGGCCTGTGGGTATTTTGTTGTTTTTGGCCTCGTCCGCTTCTTGCGATTGTGCTTCTGCACATCTCCACTTCGGAGCACGAGCTGTCATTGTTTGCTTCTGTGCTCGGGTTTTTTGGTTCTGCGCTTCTCTGCTACGGAACACGAGCTGTCATTATCTGCTTCTGCGCTGTTGCTTTTTCGCTTCCCCGCTTCTGAGTCTCGGACCACTTTTTGCCGCCTGCCCCGCTCCGCGCTTCTCTGCTTCTTGGCGAATGCCCGGAGCACGGCGCAGCAGGAAGCCGGTCCCAAGGAGCACCTTGTCGTGTCGCGAGTAAGGGAGAGGTTTCAAACAAAAATCAAAAATGTATCAAAAAAATCAAAAGATAACGAAAGAAGGAATCACCAGAACAAAGCAAGAAAGAAAGAACGAATCAACAACAGATGCAAAGAAGGAAAGAAAATACAAAAATAACGAACGAAGCGAAGTAGGAAAGATCGAAATAACGAAATAGCATACAAAGACAAATGAAAGAGCGAACTAAAGAAATGTAGAAGGAAAGAAACAGAGAAAGAAAGAAATATCAAAGAAATACGAGAATACAAAACGAAAGAGATAAATACATAGAGAAGGAAGGTGCTAAGTAAATACAAAAAACAGAACAAACGATACAATGAACGAGAGAAACAAGAACGACTGGCGGAAACACACGCACGAACAACAACATAGTGAACGACAGGAAAAAGAGACACCGAACCAAAGAAACAAGCAACACATATGTAGAATAGAGCATGTACATATATACACGTATATATATAATATATATATAATATATATATATATATGAGCCCGATACCTTTAAACCCTAAATCAGATTTATATCTACAATACTAAATGCCTAGTTAAATGTAATATCGACACATAGTCCATATCACAAAGCCATAACCCGAAAAGTTTCGGACCGACCATGATATATTGTTTAATATAGAACTTCCACCTCTTTCAGAATTTTGGTGTGGAGAATGCCATCCATACTTGAGGAGGGAATATCTTGTATGGTAAGCATCGACCTAATGACAGTCAAGCAAGTAGGTACACGGTGTGATGTCGAATTTCCTGACACACCGGAAGAGTGATGTATCATCCAGCATGCATACATGATGCCTGCATCATCCTGCATGTTAATCCGATAACTGTCCTTGTCGAACTCCTGCACAACTCGATTTTTATTTGGCTTGTCAGCGATGACTTATATGGGATGTCGATTTAGGATACATGATGAAACGGAATCACCAAATCAAGGGGTGTGTTTAAAACATATGTTGAACCGGAACTGCCAAGTGAAGGGGGGTGTTTGAGATGAATGATGAAGCGGAATCCCCAAATGAGAGGGCTTGTTTAAGATATGATGAACCGGAGTCGCCAAGTGAGGGGGACGTGTTTAAGATGTATATGAACCGGAATCGCCAAATGAGGTGGGCATGTTTAAGATATATGATGAACCGAAATCGCCTCAGGGGCTGTGCCAATAGCTCAATGCAACGCAAAACCCTACAAAGTGTTATTCCCTAATCGCTTGGTGGAAAACAAGACCTTGCAAATCGGAGTTCCGCAAGTGCTTGATGTAAAACGGAACCTTCACAAAGTCGCATTAGCTTGCTGCAAAGCAGACAGAACCCTACAAACTGTAATTCCCCAATGGCTTGAGGAGCCTGGAAGTTGTAATTCCTCACTAGCTTGATGCAAAGCAAGACGCTGCAAATCGGATTTCCCAACTAGTTTGATGCACAGCAGGACCCTACAAATTGTAAGCCCCCAGCAGATTCACGCAGAACAGGAGCATGAAAATTGTAATTCCCTAATAGCGTGACGCAAAACAGAAGCCCCGGAGCTGCAAGCAAGCACAGCCGCATAAATTATAGAAAAAATGTTTTGCTTGCTGTAGCACATAGGATTTTTCAATTTTTTTATGAACTTTTGATTTTTATTAAACCCTGGATTTGATTTTGGTGATGCTGTTCAATTCTTTGATGCCCCACCCCTCGAGTAACCACCAGTCAAGTACTGCTAAGCATCAGCGGATCCCGGACCGTGCCCGGCAGGAACCATTAGTTTGCGCACTCTTGACGCAACCCGCCAGTACTGATGGGCCAACATCGTTTTCTGCAAATACTGGCGGATCCCGGAGCACGGCCAAATGCTGTCCCCCCAGTATACTGGCTGTTCCAGGATGGCCTGCGGGTCATTGCGCAGGCGCTCGCCGACCCCCCGACCACAAAAGAAATACCCACATACCCAAAAAATCATCCCACAGAAATTCGGCAGGCCTTCATTAGATGCATCGGAACAGTCAAGCTCAGGCCCGACGCAGCAATTGGCTCAGTCAACTTTACGCTCAAATGATGCCCTGAATCGCAGAGGCTACTGTTGGATACATTGTGCCGGAGTACTTCAAATGGCCCGGCTTCCTCTCGCCCTCTTTGGGCCTGCTTCTGGGCAGAAAGTTCAACAAGTCTGCGGTAAATCTGGTGACAGTTTGGTGAACCTTCAGCAAATACGTGTCTCGGGCTGTCTTCGTGAACGAACCCTTTTCTCAGCAATGAGGCAGCCGGCCACTTCCGCCCTGACATGTATCAGCCTTGTCCGACAGTACCGTAAAGCTTGAAGATGGCTATAAACTCAAGCAGTCGGTGCCTTCGAGAAAACTCCGAAGTCATACATCTCAAAGCATGCGGCCTTCATCCTTAATTGTTTCGGCTCAGGGTCAAGTCGGCTCCTCACCAGTTTATTTTGAGCGGAGTTTAAGGATTTAGAATGATCTGATTTCGTTTCACGGAGGGAATCGGAGACGGGGCAAACATGGGCTGAAATCTTAGAGGGATATGAAAGATCAGGTTAGCGGAACGGCTTGGGTCCTCAAGATGAACGAAGGGTCCAAGATTGTGGTTCGCGCAGGCTTCAGTTCGATTCGATTATTTTTTCGGATTCCCTGCCAATCTCAGGAAGTTCTCGGACGTGCCAAACGGCCTTGCGGCCATTTCCAAGGCAGAGAGTTTGGCGTTTTAAGAAATTTCTACGGGGGCAGTAAGTTGTTCTCGTTTGGTAGACTGGACTTTTCTTCCTTAGTGTTCCAAAATCTTGCCTTCGTGCTCTGAGAAGATGTCCTACACCTCCTGA